GTTTCTATGATTCCAGTTCTAGGAGTCACTGGAAACTCAAGACTGTCATCATGTACCTGGTCTCTACAGGTGGATGTAAACTTTTGGTCACAGCAGTATGAACAGAGCTGGACGTGAGTAGAAACGTGGTGATGAGGTCGACTCCAGGACCGACTCATGCTGCAGCTTAAACACACAGACAGCCGCTCAATCATTCATCACTTCTTTATTATATTCATATTTTTTAACCACATATACAGTTGGACACAGTAAATTCAGTGACATCATCAAACAGTGATCCAGAATAACAGGGTGTTTTAATCATAGAAGCAGAGTCAATCATGGTCATCAGAATTAAAAATAATAATAAAAAAAAAAGAATCTACTTCTATGTCTCCGATATTGAAACAACAACAGAGGGGAGATGCTGCATGTGAGAACATTTCAAATGCTTTTGGAGTCAAAGTAATCGCACAGCTCGCTGCAGAAATCCTGAAACGCGTCTGAATGGGAACCCGTGGATGGCGCTCAGATATAGAAAGGGGGGAGGCCGGAACGTGTGGATGGACGAGACGAGAGAGTTTCAGTCGCTGCGTTTCACAGTTTTAAACCAGAGGAAGTCGCCGACGCCTCTCCTCCGACTCGGGGGGCCGCTTTGGCTCTTGAGACTCGGGCACAGTTTCCAGCTGAGGAGAGCAAGTCAACCAAAGACCTGAGGGGAGAAACTCTCGCTTATTCCATCTGAAGCCAAACCTGAGTTAGCCTGTCTTTAACTCTGCAAAAGCCCTGAGATTTGGCCTGCTCGTCAGGCCTGGTGTCACATATGAAGGGGAATGTGTGTTTTCCATGTGTGTGTGTGTGTGTGTGTGTGTTTTCTAACACTGCATGCTGCTATGCAAGAAACAAAACTGCTTTAATCCAGCCGACACATGTGGAAGTCCAGAGCGTCCAATACACAAATAAATAACTGAAAAATAAATAAGAGTTTGAACAAGTTGTGTAAAATATATAAATGATGCAGTAATTTGTTAGAGAATTAAGAAAATCATTAAAACTCCTCATTATGTAACGCTACTTCATCACTTATTCTTTTATAGTGAAGCTTTCAGTCCTGTTTGTTCGTCTGTCTGTCAGCCAGATCGTGCAAAAACTACCAAGCTGAATTAAATGAAACTTGTTTTAGAAGTGGATCATGGCCAGAAGAAGAAGCCATTTAATTCTGGAGCACATCCAGAGCACTTTCTTTAAAAGTATAAGACGGAGCATTGACCTTGGTGGAGGACTTTGGGCCTAAAGTGCCCTCATACTTTCAAAATTCCTTTTTTTAAAATGTTTAACTGATAATGCTGTTTTTCTTTCATTTTTATTCTACAGCGTCACTTTTAATGACAATGGCTCCGCTTCCTTACCTTTTAGCTAATTACACTACGCCTGTCTACTGCTGCCAGAATTAGCCGATTAGCTGCTACCAGCTAACGCAAAAACAGCGTCAAGTTACCTCTAAATCGACTGCTGCCTTAAATAAACACAGAAACTAACATTTCCTGTTATTAATTTCAGCAACAAGGCTGCGCATGCCGGCTGCTTAGCGGGCTAGCTTGCTAGGCGGCGCTGTGAGCTTTAGCATTTTTAAATTAGCATCAACGTAAAGCGACAGTGCAAAATAAGAAATACAGATAGCGTTCGTCTGTATCACTCAATCCAACTAATGCTAATAATGCTCCACTTTGGTGCTCAAAAATAATTTATTAAAAATAATTTAATCATAAAGTTCACATACTAGCCTAGCCGGTTAGCCTGCTAGCTACGTAGCATTACAGCCCTGTTAACGGCTTAATTAATTAATTGCAATTTGGCCAAGTGTAATATTCAAAGTGTAGGAGCTGCAGTTTTTTTGAAAAAGGCTAAATTTGGCACAAAATACCATCATGCACATGTACAGGAACGTGTTTGTTTGGGTTTATTTTATATTCGTTTCAGTGGAAATGAATATAAAATACAATTCTTCTCAATAGCTGTCCAAATAGCTGTAATATGTTTTTTTCTGCACATTTTTCTGTGCAAGAAAATACCAACATGAAATAATATGCATTTTAAAAAAGCATTTAAATTCAAACAAATAGTTGAGTAAAATGATAGGAATGATGAAATTAGATGCCATAACGAGCGTTTTTAATAATTTCTTCAGTTATCTGTTTGGCTCAATTACATATTTTACACAATTTATTCACGTCATTACTTATGTCATCATGTTTTTTTAAATACTGAACACTTTGGGCTCCGTAAACATCTTCCTGGATCACTTTTTTATTTTTTTAATACTATATGTGGAGTTTAAACCTATCAGGTCTTATCAATGTGAAATAAAAGTGAAGAGTAAAAGATGTGAAGGCACTCCTAGACACAGGCCCCAGATCAGTTTTCTTTTCAAAATAAACCTCCGGATTGTGAGCTGATCTCAGACCTGCCACTAGGGGGCAGCTTAAGTCTTTTGTTGTTGTTGATGTACAGTAAGTATCATGGCAACCACTTTTAAAGGTCAGTCTGGTGATATCACTGCTGAAGTCACATCCCTGATTCTCCAACAAACTGCAAAAGCCTGGAGAACAAAAAAAAAACCAAAAAACTGAGCAGAACATGAAAAAAAAAATTTAAAAAAAGACCAAACCCAGCTGGAGAACAGACACACTGGACGTACAGTAACACGGCACCGAGACTAGTGGCACTATGAGATGGCAGAGACGCAATTATTATCATACAAGTGTCAAAAAAATAAATCTTCACCGGATGCGCCGGCGGCATCGGCGTGATAATCGTCGTCACTCTCAGTCCACCGGTCAGAACAGAGCTCGTCCTCTGAGACCGAATCCTACTTTTTTGGCAGCGGGGGCGTTTTGAGGGATCGCAGAGGAGGATGAGGAGGAGGAGGAGGAGGAGGAGGAGGAAGATGGAGCGGGAACAGCGGCGGCGGCGGCGAGGCCGGACGGCTGCAGCGGCGGCTGGCGAGACAGGAGCTCCTTGAACACCGAGTTCATCTGCCGGCTGATCATGTCCTGAGAGACAAAGAAGAGGGTCAAGAAAACGTGGCAAAACCTAGTCTGTAAAAGTCTGACCCTGATGGAATGTTTTAGGTCATTTGTCACAATTTAAGTTTATAGTTCAACGAGAACAACAAGCAACAACAAAGAGTAGGAAGCCAGTGGGGAGTGAGGTGGACATTAATGCTGTTGACTGTGTGTCCAGTTTGAGCTTGTCTGAACTGAGATGTTGCAGAGGAGGTGATAAAATCCTGTCATTTTTCTAGGGACCATCTCCCTTCTGTAGCTCAGACGGGAGATAGAAAAGGCTGCCATGTAAGAAGGAAGTTCTGCCTCTAGGAGCAGAACCTTAAAGCTGCTGATCACATGGACAAAGAAAAGGCCTTCTGGAGGAAAGTTCTGCAGTCAGAACAACAATTTTGGCCACAAATACCAGAAACATGTTTGGAGGAGAGACAGTGAGGCCTTTAACCCAAAGAACACCAAGCATGGCGGTGGCAGCATCATGCTCTGAACTGGATCTTTACACAAAGTAAATGGAACAATGAAGAAGGAGGATCACCTCCATGTTCTTCAGGAAAACCTGAAACCATCAGCAGAAGGTTGATCTTGGACACAGTTGGATGTTCCAACCAGACAATGAGTCCAAACACACATCAAAGTGTTCAATCAGGCAAGTGTCACGTACTAAAACCAATAACAATTCACAGGAACGACAAAAAAAGACGTCTGTACGTTAAATTTCCAGCGTCAGCACATGAAAGCAGAACTCAGTAACTTCACACATGAGCTGCTGGTCGTGTGGAAGTCAGACGTGCTGCAAAAGTAAGACTTCAAAGTTTAAGGCGCAACACGAGGGCCGAGCTACGAACCTTATCGATGGGCGGTCTGTCTGCCTGAACGAACGGAGGTCTGTCCGGCGGTCTGAAGCCTCCTTGTCTCACAGTGTCCAGAGTGTGTCTTCGCTCGTGAGACCTGGAAAAACATTAAACACAACTTTATTCATACAGCAGAGTTTACAAAGACAAGCGGATAGTAGAACAGTTAAAGCACCAAATCCAAAATATCAAATTAAGAAAAAAGAAAGAGTAGAATGAAAGGAAATAGATTGTAAATAGAATAATAATGCATTAAACAAACATACTAAACTAGAATAAAACAAATACAATAGAGTACATCACATACATCGTCCGTCACTGTAAAGACTAAAGTTCGGAGATATAACGCTGCAACTCGTAACAGATCGAAGCTTAAATTTCTGTCACACTATGTCAGGAATGCGATTTCCATCCTTTCGGTGTTTGTATACGCCGACGATACGTGTCTTTCCAGCTGCTAAATGCGTCACTGTGTTCAGCAGCTAACGGCTAACTTTGTCTGTCTGCTGATTGGTTGTGGTGGGCAGGTGGTCTACGGGGGGTTTTCTGGAGATTTCTACTTGTGAGTGTGAACCGAAACAGAAACCCTGCAGGCCACAAAACCAAACCGAAGAATTAAAACACACTGAAAGGTGTTGCAGTGTTGAGAGGAACTGCACATAAGAATAATATTCATTGTTTTTGTCAGCACAGGCAGTTATCACGGAAATAAGCCAAACAGACAAACTTCTTTATCATTGTGTCTGAGTTTAGGAACTGTAACAGTGAGGCAGTGCTGCCACCTAGAGGTCACAGTGGGAATTACAAAACACTTTAGGTTTAAAAAAAACTTCAAACTGTTTGAGAAAGTCCAACGATTTCAGTGCTTCAGCGAAAAAAATGAACAAATTCAACCGTTTCTAATTCAGCCCTACGTCACTAACGAGCTAAGAGATGATGTTGTGTGTTCCTTTGTCCGTTATTTACCGTTGTTGTTTTGATAAGTTTGAACTTTGATTTTTGTCTCCATGCTGGCCCTCCACCAGCCATGCTTCCAAACATTTAGAAAAAAACATCAAATAACAGAAAATCTCATTTCACTTTGAAGCTACGAGGCATTTTGTAACTTCTCATCACAATTTCAGTTCATAGCGTTGGGAAACAACTAAAGAGGAGGTTTTTGGTTCTATCTATCTAACTGATATGAATTAGTGATACGACACTCTGTCGGTGCTTCAGACTCACACTGGCAGGTGTCTTGTGGCGGGGGAGGTTGGCGGCTTTCGATTGGGGCTCCCCTCGCTTCCTCTCTGTCGCCCCGGCAACGAAGCGCTGTCGCTGTTCACCCGCATCCTGTCAAGACGGAAACTTTTCAACTTTGCCTTTACGAGTGTGAAAGTAAAATAGCTGAGCTCGTGTGTGTCTGTCAGCATCTGTTGCAGTTTACATCCATGTTTGTTCAGATTCGCTCAACATACGAAGTGAAGACTGCTGAATAAGAACAACAAAAAGGGAATTATTCCACCTCAGCTCATCAGGGGACTTCTGCTCAACCA